ATATCTCTCTCTCTCTCTCTCTCCTCCCCAAAATTTCTTCTTTCCCCCCATCCACCCAGACACCTCGATTTCTTCCTAAACGCCCCCCCGCGACGCAAAAGACACCAAGTCCCAAATGACCCAAAACCCATCAACACCACAAACCCACAAGCACAACAACAACAAGAAGAAAATTCGAACAGTCCAAGTGGGGCTGCAAGGCTCTTGGTTTGTTTGCATAGAGAGAGAGGCTAGGATGCCAAGAGTTGCAGACCCAAGTCCAAGCCACAATCCTAACAGTCCAAACCACAAACCCATCAAAGCCACAAACCAACCTGAAGAATTTTGCCAGAGAAAAATTAACTTTGGTGTGAACTATTTTGTTCTCAATTTCTGTTCTTTGAGAACTGAGAAAAGAAGGGGAAAGAAGAATGGATCACATGAAAAGACAAATATACCCTCATTTTTAACGGAAAAGTTGACTAAGATGACGGAAAGGACGATTTCTGAAAGTGGATGCATAATTAAAGTACCACTGTAACAATTTAGCAATATGAGGGACGAAAAGTAAAGTTTGGTCTTAGTCCAGGGACCATTGCTACAATTTTGCCTATATAATATATATAATTTGGAGCCCTACAAATGCGAGGCCCTTGGCCATCGCCCTCCTTGCCCACCCTCAGCACTTTCAAACTTATATTTCTGGTATAATTATATAGAAAACAAATTCAAACCAATATCAATGACAGAGGACAGTTGTGGAAGATAACCACAAGTATTTTTAAATTAGATTGAGTAAAACAAAATATGAAAATTTTGAAAATGAGAAAAGAAGCTGAGCTGGAGTTGAGAGAATTTTAAAAATAATAATGGTTTGTTTGGATGGGGAATTTAGACGAGGTATTTGGGCTTTCTTAGGATTTATAAATCCACATGGCCAAATGATTTATTTGGTAAGCGCTAAGAGCATGTCCACTCATAAGGGCTAAGTCTAGGGCAAGGGCTGCCACTATTCACATGAATAGTGTCAGCCCTTGCATTTGTGGTTCCACCCATGAGGGCTAAGTCTAGGGCAAGTCTAAGGCAAATACTATTCATTGTACTTTATTTCATATTTTTTTGTACTTAAATAATTAATTTTGATAAGCTTTTTAGATAATATTTTCCGTTGTCATGTGTCACTATTTATTATAAAATTCTCACTTAAAATTTAAGATAACATTTTTAAGATAAAATTTTCGGATAAAATTTTCGGTTGCCACGTGTCCATATTTATTATAAAATTCACATCTCACTCATCATACAATTGAAATATTCTCGGTCCTCATAGTCCGACACAATGGAGTACAAGAACGACTCAATCATTGGCGGAGGCGGTTCCACCGGATCACGACGTGGGGGAGTATTTTCCTTCGGAGGACGTAATAGTGCCATTATTTCAGACACGGAACGCACCACTGGAACCGACTGCGGGCATTGTTCACTTGAGGAGCCATGTGTAATGGTTTTCCTCTTTTTTGTTTTGCCTCGAGTAATCTATTAAAAAATTGAAATTAGAAATGCAAGAAATATACATATATATAAAGACATTAAATTGAATAAAACGGAAATTAATTTTTTTTTACCTCGTTGCCAAGATTTTGACCTCTTCGAACATTTGTCCACGACCCTCCGGCTTCGATGGAAGATGTCATTTGTATTTTTGCACAAATGAAATTTGGTAGTAGAAAATTTGGTGTGGAAAGTGAAAAATATTTGAAGGAGATGAGTTTGTATGAAGATTTGGTGTGGAAAGTGAATAAAATGGTTAGGTATTTATAGGGAAAAAATACATAATTTTTTGGTATTTTTTTTATAAAAAAATTCAGAATTTTTTCGATATTTTTTGCAATTTTTTTGACGAGGACCGTCGGATTTCTGGAAAAAAAACATATCGGAGAGCCTTGGTTGCGACACGTGTCACATAGCCGTTGGAGTCTGCCAGGGCTGACGCCAGCACGCGGAAGTCAAATTTTTTTTTACTATTGGCGCGTGTAATTCACGCGCCAACGGTAAAAACAATTTGAAATGCCGCGTGCTGACGTCACAAGACTCGGGCTGAAGCCCAGGCGAAACATGCCCTTGGGCTTGCCCGGGCTGGTGGGACCCACGCTAAACCGGGCTGCAGGCTGCAGCGCTGGAGCTGCCTTGGGCTGTTGAGGGGGGCGTTTTGCCCAGTTTTGGACCTGCGCTTGAGATGCTCTAAGGGACGAACTTGGAATTTGAAGGAGGGATTTGTACAGCCCAAATTCCTTTATGAAGTAACGCCTCACTATTATCAGTACTGCAACAAATATTCATTATACACTTCCTCCAGATTTTGGGAAAGCATCTTTTGATAAGCAACTTAAAAACTCCTCATTATCGTGGATTTATATAATTCTTCCCAGTTAAGAAAATACTTTCCTCTTTCTATTGAACATGAACTCCTACTTTTGTGCAATCACAATTTGACATGTGTATAGAGATTTTTATTTTTATGTTTTTGATTAATTATTTTTGTCATATGTGTTAAACTGTGATTTGCTAGAAGTAAAAATGCCTTTATCCAGGAAGGCCTCCAGGAAGGAGGGAGTCAGTGTCCTCGTTGAAATAATATGAACTTTCAGTGTTTTACCAAATAGACAATTCCGATCATAATAGGAAAGGCACCATTGCTTGGATATCAAGTAACCAAAAGGTTTTTGTTTCCTATATAAGTAAGGCAAAAGGCTACTGAACCAAGGAGATTACAGTACCACCGCACAGCAGTTATCAATGGAGAGGTCTGAATCTTCTGATCAAGAACAGACCTCCGGCACCACGGTTGTCTTGGCATCCCTCACTGGCTTAGCAATTGGAGGGTCACTTGTGGCCATGATAGGGTTCAGCATCTTGGCCTCAGTGGCACTAGTCTTGTTGACTGCCAACATCACCCTACTACTTTTTGCTTGCTTTGCGTTTGTGGGAGCAATTTCTGGGTTTGTTTTGGCTCTGGCCATGGCTCTGGCCAGCGTGCTTATGCTGGAGCGGATGTTCCAGAAGCATGGAGGCACAAGCCTTTTGAGGTTTGGCAGTGAGACTGAGACTGAGACTCTGGTGCCTCAGACTGAGACAGTGAGCAAGGAACAAGTCCAGCATGAGAATAATGAACAGGGTAGGGCACAGAGTACCTGCTAGTTCTAATTAGCAAAGTCATTTACTAATTGCATGTTGATGTTGATGGTTAATTAGCTATGGTAAATTTTAAAACTCTTGGGTTTTAGTTGTTTTTGGCGTCTTAGTAAGCAATTTCGAACATGACAATTAAGAATTCCTCAGTTTTCTCAGCAACCCATTAGCGGATGATTAATTTTTTGTTTATTTTTATTTTCAATGCTAGTTAGTATATCTCTTTGTGGAGCTTTCTGTATCTGTGTTTTTGTTGGACTGCAATACTTCTATGTTTGAACCTATAATGTATAGAAAATCATGCGTAGCCATTTGAATGTTGAATTCAATTACTCATGGTTTTCTGTCTACAGATAATATGGCCGTTCTTGCTCCTGAAGAACTAGAGGATTTCACAACATTCGATGAGGTTTACCACGATTTTGAGTACATGGGATTGCAATGTGATCTTCTGAGAGGCATTTTTGCTTATGGTAAGCATTTATGATTACATGGGCTTTGCTTTTTTGTATGATACAATGGCTTTCCCTTTTGAAGTTGTCATGATTTATCCTAGAAAACTAGGAATCCATTTATTTTCTTTTTGTTAATTTACTTTGTATAACTTAGTTTCCAATTTTTTGTTTTTCCATTAGGCAACATTATCAAGTACTTTCTTTCAAAACAGAAAAGAAAATACTATCTTCATCTTTACCTTTTGCCTTGATATTTCAAGTGTACGATTCTGGTTTTGTTTGGAAGGTTTTAAGAAGCCTTCTGCAAGTCAGCAAAGGGGCATTGTTCCTTTCTGCGAAGGCCTGGATGTGATTCAACAAGCTCAGCCTGGAACTGGAAAAAGAGCTACTTTCTGCTGCGGAATTTTGGAGCAACTTAATATTGATTTGGTCGAGTGCCAGGCTCTGGTTTTGGCACCTACCAGGGCCTCGGCACTGAAGACTGAGAAAGTTATGCGAGCACTTGGCGACTATCTTGGGCTGAGGGTTTATGCTTGTGTCCGTGGCAGAACTCATCATGAGGGTCAACGCATTCTTCACGCCGGTGTTCATGTTGTTGTTGGCACTCCTGATTGTGTATTTGAAATGTTGAGTAGCCAGAACCTATACCCAGATCACATACATATGATTGTATTGGATGAGGCTGGTGAAATGCTTACCGGGAGCTTCAATGATGAGGTACTTCTTTTGCCAAACAGTGTGACATGTTATGTTATTTTCACGTTCAATGTATGATCTAGATTGATAGAACGACAACGTAACACACTATGTTATATATGCAAGAGCCCTTGTTATGCATTAAGATTGTTAATCTTTTCTTTCTCCCACTACTTTTTATGGGTTTGGATTTTCATTTGACATGGTGTTTTGGTGCAGATCCTTCACATTTTCCAGCTTCTGCCATCACCAGTTCAGGTTGGGGTGTTCTCTGCTACAATGCCACCTGAAGCCCTTGAAGTCACAAGAAAGTTTATGACCAAACCTGTGAAGATCATAGTAGAGCATGATGAGCTCACCCTTGAGGGTATCAAGCAATTTTATGTCAATGTTGAGGAAGAAGAATGGAAGCTTGACACCGTTTGTGAGCTCCATGATTCCTTATCCACCTACCCAACTGTCATCTTTGTTGATACAACTCAGAAGGTGGAGTGGCTTACCGACAGGATGAGAAGCCTTGACTACCCCGTCTCTGCTATCCATGTTTACACGGACCTGAACACTCGCGACACAATTCTGCACGAATTTCGCACTGGCTCTTGCCAAGTTCTTATCACCACAGATCACTTGGCTCGGTGTATCGATGTGCAGCAAGCACGTGTTGTAGTAAATTATGATTTGCCAAATCAACCAGAAAACTATCTTCATCGTATAGGAAGAAGTGGACGTTTCGGAAGTAAAAGTACTGTCATCAACTTTATGATTAGGGATGAAGAGAGAAAGGTGCTTGACATTCAGAGGTTTTACACATTGGTCATTGAGGAGCTGCCTGCAGATTTTGCTCATCTCTTCTGAGCGGCTTATTTTGTTTTCAATCCCTTCCCTTTTCTTTTTGAAACTTTGGGGCAGAGTCTCTTATCCTTGTTTTGCAAGTTATATCTTAAACTTTATCTTCTTGCATTTTGTTTTTCACTCAATTAGTGGTGTCAAAAACATCTAACTGTACTTCAAGGGTTTTGTTACAGAAAGAAGGTGCTGTTTTGGATTGGTTTATATGTAAAGCTTGGTTTCATATGGTTGCTGTTTTGGAAGTTTTTGCCTAATTCTCGAATAAGTATTTTATGTTAAGGATTGGTTACATACTTCTAATCTAAGTCATTGGATTGCATTCATTAAATATGTTGATAGTCTCTTAGATGCAATCCAACTACCGAAATTCTAAGTATGTAACAAATCCTTAACTTAAATATTTATTGGACAATCTCCCCACTTTTTTTTTTTAATAAATAAATTTATTATTTTGGATCATGAGCCATATATATGTCAAACAAAGTAGGGCAAATATTCAAATATGCTCAGATATGCTCATATTTGCTCATCTCCAATATGGAGGTATTTATATAAGTACAACCCTAAATAAAATAGGAAATAAATCTAAATTACAATAGAAAGTAAATCTAAATTACAATAGGAAATAAATCTTAATTATAATTGGACTAGACAAATAGGTAAGTAACTAAAATCCTAACATAGTAAGGAACCAAAATCCTAACTAAGTAAGGACTCGCCAACACTCCCCCTCAAGTTGGGCAAAGATATTTCACATGCCCAACTTGACAAGCGAGTCATAGAACACCATACTTGAGAAGCACCAATTGTAGAGAAGGTCTTTTCGTCAACCACGAGTGAAACACGTGACAAACTAAAGCAAAGTTCGCAGCGGAAACACGAGAGCAAACCCTAAAAAATAGGGCACATAGCAGAACACAGAAGCCCTGTGAGCACGACAATAGATGAAGCAGAACACAGAAGCCCTGTGAGCACGGCAGAAGATAGGGCAGAAACCAAAGGCAAGCCAAACACACCAGCAAAGACATGAGCAACAATACTGGCACCATAACAGGCAGGAGCAACAAGGCAGAGACATAACAGGCATCATCAACAGCAATACAAGGCATTGGCACTAGCAACAACAGAGACAACTTCTCTTCACTCCCCTTCTCCCCCTGAAGAGAAGGGGTCGATGGAGCCA